GTGGCATGCGCCTGTAGTCCCAGCTACTCGGGAGGCTGAGGCAGGAGAAACGCTTGAACCCAGGAGGCGGAGGTTGCCACAAGCCAAAATCCTGCCACTGCACTGCAGCAGGAAATTAATAACAAAAGAGAGAGAGAGAGTATGGGGGTGGGGAGTGTGTGTGTGTGTGTGTGTGTGTGTGTGTGTGTGTGTGTGTGTGAGAGAGAGAGAGAGAAAGAGAGATTATCTCTGCTGCTTCTGTGGAAAAGCAGTCCCACCTCCTCCTGCTGATCAGGGTATATTAATCCTGCCCCATTGGTGATGTATTTCTTGTCTTTTGGTTACTGGACCCAAGGAATCTAAAGCCCCCGGCAGATAATCTTCTTTAGGGAGCAGGACTTGCCTGCCTTCCAGATCCCAGAGCTGCAGGGATGAGAATCACAGAAAACCTTAGAAGATTATTGGGGGCATCTGTAACTGGGGACACTACTGTTGCTACCTCTTATTTTCCTGTAGATTCTTCCTATGGAGGAAGAACTACTATATAAAGATCTGTGACTGAATATGTATAAAAGATGATGCCTCCTGCTTTCAGAATGTCTCCTTTGGCATAGTGCCGCCCTTGCATCTTGAGAATGTTTCCCCAGGGCTTCATCATGAGTCCAACTGCTTCTTTTTTTTTTAGACAAGAGTCTCGCTCCACGGCCAGGCTGGAGTGCAGTGCCTCATCTACAGCCTCCGCCTCCCAGGTTCAAGTGATCCTTCTGCCTCAGCCTCTGGAGTAGCTGGGACTGCTGGTGCCCACAACCATACCCGGCTAATTTTTGTATTTTTAATAGAGACGGGGTTTCACCTTGTTGGCCAGGATGGTCTTGATCTCTTGACCTCGTGATCCACCCGCATCGGCCTCCCAAAGTACTGGGATTACAGGCGTGAGCCACCGGGCCCGGTCAAATTAAGACTCTATATATATATATACACACATATATATATATATTTTTTTCTTGAAACCTACAGGGATTTAAGGATCAGTATATTGAGCGGGAAGAAACAAGATGGTGGCTGAAGGTGATCCAGAGTAGGGCCCCAGCGATTCGAATTGAGCCTTCTCCCTCCACCCGCCCGGCCCTCGGGCCTCCCTACCCGGCCCGCCGCCCCCA